TACTGCCGCGGCTCGAAGCGGAAAGCCTGGCATCACCATCGCCTGATTTTGAGCTGCAACGGTCCCGGTACCACCATTACCGGCTCCACTTCCGAGGCCACCTCCTAAGGAACCTACGGTCACCTGCTGTTGCGGTGGTGGAAGTCTGTAATATAGAAAATAAATCCATAAGTTTAGAAAGAGGACAAAATAGAAGGGAAACAGATCTTATAAATTTGTAAAATGACAACAATTAATATCGTTCCAATATTTTCCAAACATCGTAACGATATTATGCATGTATTAATAATCTTTAAATGTATTTGGGAGTTGCAACATTATATCATATTAATAAATTTAATTAGTTTAACGTACACATGTAACGTTTTAGTTTTTCATTAAATTTGGCTACGGGAAATTATGATAATATAATTTTTCCATTATTTCCTTTTTAATGTTTATTTAATAAATAGCACAATATTTTTCATCTAAAAGAGTTAAATAATTTTTTTATTCGTGAAAGTCTCGTGTCTATTTGTAATAAGATCGATTAATTTGATATGACTGAGATTAACCTTCAAATATCGAATTCTTTGATAATCGTGTTGTTTTTAAAGAATAACCAAAGAGAGACAGAGACAGAGAGAGAGAGAGAGAGAGAGAGAGAGAGAGAAAGAAAAGAGTGAAAAAGGAAGAAAGAGGGAAAACGAGCACGAAGGCATATCGTTGCATCACGATTTCGCTCTGGGGGCTTTGGAAAGATAACGCAAAGCTTATAAAAGATGCAGATACGGTTATTAACTCTGACAGGATCGGAGCGTTCTCATACATACATACATATATGTACATATTTAGATGTCTCTCTTCTCTCTTTCTCTCTCTTTCTCTTTCTGTATATTGGCATTGACTCGAGGGATTTCGCGAGAGTACGAGGATGCTTTTCGTGCGACGAGGCTAAGGCTCACCCGTCGAACCTATGTCACGGATTTTATTTTCATCCTCGTCATCGATATTTATCTTGGTCCCTTCTCTTCTCCGATGCCGAGGGACATCAACGAGAGCCACGAGCTGTTGCTAGCAGGAAGAAGAGAAAGAGAATGAACGGATAAGCACGACTGGTATCCTCGAAAAGCGTTCTGTGAAAAGGGACAACGTCGAAACAGGGATTTAATGCGGTACCAGGATAAATATAGTTTTCCGATAATCACGTGGACTCATGAATAGCATTAGCTTCGCTGATAGAGAAAGAAAGAGACAGAGATACATAATGCATCACGCTTTCTACTCTTCCAACTCTTCTTCTTCTTCTTCTTCTTTTAGATTTAGTCCCGAAATCCCATAAGAATAACGTTCTAGTGACAGTGATCCTGTGATGCGGATAAAAAACGGGAATGTGAATATTGTATAAAGAGAAAGAGAGAGAGAGAGAGAGAGAGAGAGAGAGAGAGAAAGAGGATTTACTGGACGTTCGGTATGGGCCAAACGAAAGTAGAACACAGAGATTTCACAATAGAATCTGGCATTATATTATCCTACTTTCTAGATAAGTAAACAGCGAGATCGATCAACCTATTCGATTAAATGTTCTCTCTTTTCTTTTTTGTCACATATAACGTGATTTTTAGTATATATTTATGATATGGTTAATTCTAATAAATGAAAAAGTTCAAACATTAATGTTGATCGATATAAATGAGATACCAAATGGATGATCAGAAAATTCAAAGAAATTTATCTCAATGATAACTCAAACGTTGAGGTGCTCGACGAAATACACATACACACGCACATACGCACATACAGAAAGAGAGACAGAGTTGGACAATTTACTCGTGAAAACTTTCCATCGGTCTTACTCGAAAAATCTCGCTAAAGAATCCATGTTGGTTTCTCGTAAATCAAGTCGCAAAGAAAATCAAAAAGTGAAAGAAAAAGAAACGAAGTAGACTCAAAACACTTATTCTTACGTGTTAGTAGCTTCCTTCCCTTCGGTAGAGTTTGTCGACAAGGGAAGAGGTTCAACGGGGGAGGAAAACCTTGCCGACGGCAACGTTCGTTCCTCAAAGTATCATTAAAACGTCTCGCGTGCCTGGCGTAACGCATAAGTTGGTTAACAGCTACCGACAAATACCATAAATAATCGAGCTTAGCTACGGAGGAGGCTCGCTTCACGATCCTATAAACGTCCGCTCATATTTCCCAACGGCAGGAAGCAATCAGACGCGACGTAAAAAAAGATAGACAGACAGAAAGAGAGAAAGAGAGGGAAAGAGAGATCACTGGCAGAAGTCCCGAGTCTTTCTTACTCGTGCGTGCAGACCGAGGCAAGAAACGAGGAAGCAGAAAAAGAGAGAGAGAGAGAGAGAGAGAGAGAGAGGAAGAGAGATAGATAGATAGATAGATTGAGAGAAAAAGACAGAAAGAGAGGGAGACAAGAGAGAAAGAGAGAGAGAGAGAGAGAGAAAGAGAAAGAGAGAAAGAGAGGAGATGCAATAAATATTGCTTTTTCTTCGGGATCATTAAGTTGAAATAACGGAACGTGGCGGAAAATTAATTTACTAAAAGTATCGTCTATTCCTTCCATTGCTTTCTTTCTCTCTCTCTCTCTTTCTCTCTCTTTCTTTCTCTCTCTATGTCTCTACACCATCTTCTATCTCATCGGACTGAAATTATCGAGCGAAAAAGTTTAATGGCGAAATAATGGGGCCTTTCGAAATGTTGGGCGATGACCAGTGGTGATATTAGGTCCCATCTACGAATCTTCGTCGTTGTTATCGGTCCAATATGATAGAAGAGATTACGTCGTGTCTGTATGCATATATAAGACGTTTGACCAATCAATGGACGTTTTACTTGTGGATACATAGAGATAATAATTATTTGAATAGCATATATCGTGTGTCGAAATATTTCAATAATTCTTTGAATCGATTTGTTAAAATATATCGGACAATACGCTCGAGAAATTTCTATTCTTACTTACGATTGCAAGAAATAAATACGACTTTTATTCTTTTTTCTGTTCATTACAAAAAAAGAAAGAGTATAAAAAGAAGAAAAGAAAACGAAATAAATAGAAAAGCACAACAAAGTTCTTTTTTTTTCATTTATACTATTGATATAAAATCGACGAACGTATGTGAGGTTTATAAATACATATGGTTTCTATTGGACCGGTTGAAATCAATTTTCTACGCTTCGAGTGTATTGAATACATATATAGACACAAACGTATACACGTTCGCATAGAAACCGTATAAGGTTTAGTTCTCCGTTAGTGAAACTTAGAAAAGTTCAAAAATTTCGCGGCGCCGTATCGACTTTTCGGGGGCGAGATAGAACGGAAGCCAATTTATTCGCAGTAAACACTATTACCCGGACGCTAGGAACGCGATTAATCTTCGCTTTTCCTCGAGCTTCTGCACTCACTCTAACATAGCCGCCATTGCCGTCGCCGGTTGAAATCCGTCGACGCTTCTGACCGAGAAAGTATCCTCCTTCTGGCTTCTCTCTCTCTCTCTCTCTCTCTCTCTCTCTCTTTCTCTCTCTTTCTCTCTCTCTCTCTCTCTTTTTCTCTGCAAAACAAATAAATCTCTTCCGGACATACCACCTAAACCTTCGCAATTCTACACGTCTAGTTGGACTGAAAATTTCATTTCAAAAGTATAACTATACATTCCGTAGCTTTTACATTTCACTTTTTAAAATACATTTTAAAATACATTTTAAACAAATTTATGATAGATTATATGTTTTATATTGAATTATTATTGCTATTGTATTGATTAATAATTTCTACATAATTGTGTATGTGTGTTGTATATATATATATCTATATATATATATATATATATATATATATATATATATATATATATATATATATATACAAGATCCTCATATTAATTTATAATAGTTAATTTCTTAATTTGATAATGGAAATTGGTACATTATTATGACGATCGATCGTAAAAGGGAAAAATAAATTTCTTTTATATTGCGAATTGAGATGGAACACCGATAAATAATTCACTTTACGAACGAACTAAATTGAGGATAATCGAAGCCTCGATTGCATCGAACGATCGAAATGGTTCGAAGGGTGGCGAGAAATAAGACTTAAGGAGAAAACTCCGAAACGAAGGGCGTTTAAGGGTGGCGAAGGAACGAGACACGAAGTAAAAGCAGCTATTCTACGCGCTGACACCCCGTCCTCCCTTCTCGCCGCTATTTTACTCACCTAGCTCCCTTTCAAGTCAGGGGTTAAACCATTTGCCCTGGTAAATCGGTTGGCCGAAATCGAGTTATATTTCCTAATCGATACGATGGATTAGGTTATCGTATTGGTACACGTTGTTCGGCCACCCGTGGTCCACCAGCTTTAGCTTAACTACTAACTATATATAATACTATATAGCCTTAAACTATGCTCGTTATCTTTTATGATTGTTTCCGTTAAAATATTGTAAATAATATTATATACTTTACCGTATTCAAAGATATTTCTATAGCAATTTACCAGAATTGTTCTGCACAAGATGTTTTTGTATAATAAAACAAGCTAAAGAAATCTCTTTATTTTATTTTTTATTACTACGTTCATCCATTATTATTCGTTTATTCTCTCTCTCTCTCTTTTTCTCATTAAGGAAATGCTTCCATAAGAGTGAACAAAAGCGTTAATTAATCAATGGGACCATAGAGGAAGCTATTCGGTTGTAAATACTGCAAAGGAAGGAACAATGCCTTGACCGAGTAACTGGTTAGATCGTTCGAGATCTCTCTCTCTCTCTCTCTCTCTCTCTCTTTCTCTTTCTCTCTCTATTTCTCCTTTTATCTCTATCTCATGGTATGACAACGTATAACACCTACACCGATTAAAGCGAATTGACCGGCTGCCTGATATATTGAAAGTTAAAAAGGTAATTGTGGGGTGGCGTTGCCGTCACATATTGAGCTGAGTGTCGTCTGAGTGGAAGATTGGTACTGTTGCAGCTGCGAGAGGAGGAGCTAGAGGATACGAGTTCGAGCGTGTGATCCAATTATGATGTAACGAATGTATCGTCGATGGTCGACGAGCCACCGACAGACAACGTGCTTCGAGTGCCTGAGCGTTTCGAGGACGCTACTACTACGTACAGTTAGAGGTATAGTACGCGTTCCTAC